CCACTGAACCTCCACATCGCTTCGGGGTACGCCCCTGTACATCCCGTGCAGCATTCCGTCCCCACGCGCATACTTATAACAAAATCCCACGACCATGCACCCCGCCGGTTCTTCCCAACGCCTTCCCATTCCTTGGAATGTTTTGAACCATGTATCCACAAGTCTGCCCTGAACGTAGACCACACAGGTGTCTTTTTTGTTACACATAACTTTGTACTATATATTCTTCAATTTAAGAACCCACACTTCACATTTGTTTATCAAAATTTCTAACGATATACACAATGGAAATCACAATTTTATATGAAATTACCATTGAATGGTTAACTAAAACAGTATGTAAAACATAACATTGTGTTTTTTTTAATTCAGATTTTTTTTTTTTTACATTGTTAGCAAGCAATACTAATTTTTTTTTATCTGATTGTTAATTAAAAAAAAATTACTGATTTCTTTCCTACTATTTAAACACAATGTTAACTGAATTTTGAGGCTTTGAGAGCAAAGACACCCCAATGTTAACTGAATTTTGAGGCTTTGAGAGCAAAGACACCCCTAGCGCTGGCACACACGGTTAAAATCAGGGATAGCTACTGTTACATTACCATTTAGACATATATATGTCTATATTTATTTATTTATATGGTAAATAAGACTTATAGAAAATATAGTAAAGTTTTTAATTTTTATAGCATTTCATTTTTTATTAATAATTTATTATTCATATGAATATGAATTAAAAAAAAATAATAATGTTATCTTTTTTACATTAAAATATTTTTTATTTTGATCTTATTAAAAGATAAGTCAATGTACTTATGTTAAAATTAATTATATTTTTTCATAATTTTTCAACAGATTAGAATATTTATGTATGTATTTTACTTTTTTATTATTTTGAGTCATATTTTAATTTATCGAAATAAATAAATAAAATGTTCATACCATACTTTTTTTTTGATCGAGTTCATACCATACTTTACTCTCCTTTTCTTTCTATTGGCTGAAATTACATTTTGTAGAATTAAAAAAAAAAGGTTTAGCGAAATTTTTTTTATGCAAAACTTTTTTTGATAAAACAAAAAAATGTTTTTTCCATGACTACTTGCAAGGGGTCGTTTGGGACACAGGAAAAAAAGTTGGTTTTGGGTTTATAAAAGTCGATTTTTTTTTATTTATTATTTGTGGTTATATTTCTGCTATCTGAATTTTTTTTTTTTTTTGTGATTATATTTCAGCTATTTAAATTCAATTAATCTGCTACGTACTTTTTTCCTTGAAATAAAATAATCTGTTCTTTTTCCTTTATCTGTGTTCTCCTTCAAATCATATTGCACTGTTATTGTTGTATATCCATCGCAGTGTTCTTTAAAATACTCCGTTCTGCTTGTATATTCATCCCAAATTAGTTTAAATATAATTTGTATATTTATAGATGGATGGAAATAATTCCGATGACAATGAGAACACCAAAATGTGGACGCCTAGAATTGAAACGAAATTAATAAATATGTTGAGAGATGAGGTTAGAAACAATCAAACAACGGGCCGTACTACTTCGTGGACAATTAGGCATTGGAATCATTATGCAAATCAGTTGCACAACATATATGGATTTCGGTATACAGGTGTTAAGGTGCGCCAAAAATATCAGCGCTTGAAAGCTGGTTACCAGACATTCAAGCGACTCCAGGCACAGACTGGTTTGGGATGGGATCCTATTATAGGCACTGTTGTTGCACCCGATGAATTTTGGGATAAGGTTTTCCATTAATCTGTACTATTTTCTAATTTTATTTTAAACGTTTCATGATATATACAATGCTTAATTCTTGTTTTGTACTTGTTGTAGGCTAGCAGAAATGTGAAGAAGTTTAGGACAAAAAAGTTTGAATATTTTCAAGAAATGACAGAGATTGTTGAAAATTGTTGTGCTACAGGGGCCTTGTCTCGTGCATCCACACAAGGACCCCTTGACTCAGAAGAAGAAGACGACATGCTAAATAAATTTTGGAACGCCGATGCTGGTGGGAGTAACACTGGTGAGAGTAATGCTGCTGAGGCCATTCCTGTTGACTTATTCGAGGATGAGTATATAGATCCAGCAAAGGGCAAAAGTCACAAGAGGGGCCCTGCAACCAGCCAGACTGACAGTGGTCGTTCCAAAAAGTCACGGTCAAGTGGGTTTGATGATGTGTGCGCAGCTTTCACATCCTATGTACAAGCCAAAACAGGACATTCACGTGCACGAGAAAATGAGACTGAGGCTGTAAGTGCAGGTGGTGATGATTATTCCCTTGATGCATGTCAAGATGCATTGCTTGAGCTTGGGGACATACCACCGTTGCAGTACGTTAGGGCACTGACACTATTCAAGGACAAGGAATGGCGAAGGTTTTTTATGCGCTACCAATTTGCGCCTAGCCATGATCCTCGCTTTGCAGTGAACTGAGACATTCTGTTTTGCTTGTGTTAACAAATCTTCTTGGCTGAACTGTTTGATCATTTCATTATTCCTGATTTGGTTTTAATTCTTATTTTTTTTCATTCCATCATATTCTCTTTCCTTTTCTATGTTCGTATGTTTTTTTTTTTAACTTTTAAGTGTTTTCTGTTATATTAAAACTATGGAAGTTATTATAATATGACCATGTGTTAAATAAATTTTGTTATCCTCTGAATTTTACTGTTTCACCAATAACGCTAACTGTTACTGCATGAATAACATATTTTATAATTATGCTTTTACTGTGATGTAGACAAAGGCATATGTCATCCGACGAAGAAAACAATACAATGGAGCTCTCATCAGAGGAGGATGAGGTTGTTGATGATTTTATGGATTTCTTGATGATTGCTGTAATGTATGACCATATGAACGCGTCAAGTAGTCGCCGACCGTAGCGAACGTGTCCATTCAGAGGTGATGATTACATCTTCGGCCTATTAAATGGCCATCCAGAAACAATGATGAACGTTATGCGAATGGATGCACAAACATTCATTTTATTGAAAGACACTTTACTCCATAATGGCTTTATCGATACTGAACATATGCATATAAGTGTGGAGGAATTGCTTGGAATTTTTTTATACATTTTTGCACAAAATGATCGCCATCGAATAATGGCAGATAGATTTCAACACTCAACGGAAACAATTTGTCGGCACATAAAAATTGTTATGCGGGCATTGTGCAAGCTTTCATCATCGGTTATCAAACCATGTAACCTAGAGGACATCCCGGGAAAAATTTTAAATGACAGGCAGTTTTTTCCCTGGTTCAAGGTACGAACAGTGTGACTGTCCTGTAAATTTGTTCATATCCATAAGGGTTAATAAATATTATTATTTTTTAATTATGAAAGTAAAATCAATCAGTTTGTTTCGCTTTTAATATCAAAGGCTGATATCTGTCAATTAGGATTGTGTCGGTGCTATCGATGGCACATTGGTGGATGCATGGGTCCCTGCTTCAAGACAACATACATTCCGCGGTCGGAAAACAACTGTATCGCAAAATGTACACGCAGCTTGCAACTTCGATATGTTGTTCACATTTATTAATTCTGGATGGGAAGGTAGCGCTCACGACAACGCTATTCTGGTTGACTCTATTACACGAGCTGATCTACAGTTCCCACATCCACCCAATGGTGACTGTCCCTGAACAACATACTGTACACTTTTTTCCTTGTCTGCTTTTATACATATCAATTGACAGAACTGTGTATTCATTATTTACATGTAGACAAGTACTATTTAGTTGATGCTGGTTTCATGAACATGCCTGGATTTCTTGCTCCATTTCGGTCTCAACGATATCACTTGCAAGAGTTTCGTGGCCATCGTTATGCAGGACCTAAGGAATTGTTTAACCATCGACATTCGTCATTACGCAACGTCATAGAAAGAACATTTGGTGTTTTGAAGAAGCGCTTCCCAATATTGTGGTCCATGCCAAATTACAAGTCTACACGACAAGGGCCTCTCGTGATTGCATGTTGTGTAGTGCACAATTGGATCCGTTTGCATGCAGTTATGGATCCATTCTTTATGGAAGCTGATAATGAAATGGCCGCAGAAGCAGAAGCAGACGGGTTTCTTGGAGACCAACCTGACTACGTTGACATGTCACAACATGGGTTAACGTCCCAATCGAACGTTAGGGATGCAATTGCTACTGCTATGTAGCAAAATCATGTTCACCATGGGCATTGAAGATAATGGTTTTCTTAGTACATGTGTACTTAAATATGTTGTTCATGCAATGTGTAATATCCAAATTTATGTATAGTCTACCAAAGACAATTAAATATGTTGTTATTAATATGCAATGTGTTTCTTAGTAACTTTCACAATTAAATATGTTGTTATTAAATTAAATGTGGTGGTGGCAGATGGGTGGTGGTGGCAAATGGGTGGTGAGTGGTGGTAGGTGGGTGGAATAAATATGTTGTCATTAAATTAAATGTGGTGGTGGGTGGTGGGTGGTGGTGGCAGATGGGTGGTGGGTGGTGATGGGTGGTGCTGGCAGGTGGGTGGTGGTAACTGATGGGTGGTGGTGGCAGGTGGGTGGTGGGTGGTGATGGGTGGTGGTGGCAGGTGGGTGGTGGGTGGTGATGGGTGGTGGTGGCAGGTGGGTGGTGGGTGGTGATGGGTGGTGGTGGCAGGTGGGTGGTGGGTGGTGATGGGTGGTGGTGGCAGGTGGGTGGTGGGTGGTGATGGGTGGTGGTGGCAGGTGGGTGGTGGGTGGTGATGGGTGGTGGTGGCAGGTGGGTGGTGGGTGGTGATGGGTGGTGGTGGCAGGTGGGTGGTGGGTGGTGATGGGTGGTGGTGGCAGGTGGGTGGTGGGTGGTGATGGGTGGTGGTGGCAGGTGGGTGGTGGGTGGTGATGGGTGGTGGTGGCAGGTGGGTGGTGGGTGGTGATGGGTGGTGGTGGCAGGTGGGTGGTGGGTGGTGATGGGTGGTGGTGGCAGGTGGGTGGTGGGTGGTGATGGGTGGTGGTGGCAGGTGGGTGGTGGGTGGTGATGGGTGGTGGTGGCAGGTGGGTGGTGGGTGGTGATGGGTGGTGGTGGCAGGTGGGTGGTGGGTGGTGATGGGTGGTGGTGGCAGGTGGGTGGTGGGTGGTGATGGGTGGTGGTGGCAGGTGGGTGGTGGGTGGTGATGGGTGGTGGTGGCAGGTGGGTGGTGGGTGGTGATGGGTGGTGGTGGCAGGTGGGTGGTGGGTGGTGATGGGTGGTGGTGGCAGGTGGGTGGTGGGTGGTGATGGGTGGTGGTGGCAGGTGGGTGGTGGGTGGTGATGGGTGGTGGTGGCAGGTGGGTGGTGGGTGGTGATGATGTATGACGTACTATTTATTAACATTATAACTGTGTAATTAAATACTTCCAAAAAAAACCCCTCGTTCTTATTCATTACGTGAATAGAAAAGTTTATAACAAAATAACAAAAGTAAAACAATCACAACAAAACTCACCAAATAAATAAGCAAAACAAAAATAAAGGAAAAAAAATATAACAACCGTATGATTTTTAAACAAGTTAAGCATTCTTATTAGGTGGTGTTGGAGGTGGAGGGAAATGCTGATCGTACAGCTGAGTGACTCTATGGTCAATCAGATCAATGCGATTCCTTATCAGTTCAGCACGTCTCTCGGAGTCTACGCGGAACTCACCAAATTGATGAATTAGTGAGTTCTGAGCGGTGGCAATTTCAATGAATCGAGTACCAAATTCGTCAAACCGAGTACCCAGTGTATTGAGCTGATTAGCCATTTGTTGTTCCCATTGTAGGCGCTGATTGTATCGTTCTTGTTCCAAGGCTAAATAATCTGTCCAGTAACGAGGTTGTTCATTTGGCGGCATGGCATTGTCATTGGGTTCTTCCTCATCAGGTATTGGTTCAAATTGGATACTCTGAGTGGGCCGGTCCCTACCTTTTGAGGGCTTTACTCCATAATGGTTTAAAAGCCCATATGTGAACCTTGAAGAATGAAGCATGGATCAGATCACTTCACATTTCTGAAATACACTGACCCGAGCTGGTTGGTTCCTAACGTTGATGGGCCTCTCTTAATCTTCAAAA